CCTGTTCTCAGCGGTTGGCTGCATGAGTGTCAGGTTAAAGAAGGATTTTTAAGCCTTGAGACAATGGATTGTGTATGTGTGCCATTCAGAGAGCTCTTTACTTCTCTATAGGGGATCTTTACTTCTCTATAACGACTATTTTCCTTGTCTATAGGTGCTCTTTACTTCTCTATAGGGGCTCTTTACTTCTCTATAGATGCTCTTTACTTCTCTATAGGGGCTCTTTACTTCTATAGAGGCTCTTTACTTCTCTATAGGGGCTCTTTACTTCTCTATAGAGGCTCTTTACTTCTATAGAGGGTCTTTACTTCTCTATAGAGGCTCTTTACTTCTCTATAGAGGCTTTTTACTTCTCTATAGAGGCTCTTTACTTCTCTATAGGTGCTCTTTACTTCTCTATAGAGGCTCATTACTTCTCTATAGGGGCTCTTTACTTATCTATAGAGGCTCTTTACTTCTTTATAGGCTCTTTACTTCACTATAGAGGCTCTTTACGTCTCTATAGAGGCTCTTTACTTTTCTATAGAGGATCTTTACTTCTCTAAAGGGGCTCTTTACTTCTCTATAACGACTCATTACCTCCCTATAGAGGCTCTTTACTTCTCTATAGAGGCTCTTTACTTCTCTATAGGGGCTCTTTACTACTCTGTAGAGGCTCTTTATCTTCTCTATAGAGGCTTTACTTCCTATAGAGGCTCTTTACTTCTCTATATAGGGCTCTTTACTTCTCTATATAGGCTTTTTACTTCTCTATAGGGGCTCTTTACTTCTCTATAGAGGCTCTTTACTTCTCTATAGGGGCTTTTCACTTCTCTATAGAGGCTATTTACTTCTCTATAGGGGCTCTTTACCTCTCAATATAGGCTCTTTACTTCTCTATAGGGGCTCTTTACTTCTCTATAGATGCCCTTTACTTCTCTATAGAGGCACTTTACTTCTCTATAGAGGCTCTTTCCTTCTCTAAAGGGGCTCTTTACTTCTCTATAGAGGCTCTTTACTTCTCTATAGAGGCCTTTACTTCTCTATAGAGGCTCTTTACTACTCTATAGAGGCTCTTTACTTCTCTATAGAGGCTCTTTACTTTTCCATAGGGGCTCTTTACTTCTCTATAGAGGCTCTTTACTTCTATAGAGGCTCTTTACTTCTCTATAGAGGCTCTTTACTTCTCTATATAGGCTCTTTACTTCTCTATAGGGGCTCTTTACTTATCTATAGAGGCTCTTTACTTCTTTATAGGCTCTTTACTTCACTATAGAGGCTCTTTACGTCTCTATAGAGGCTCTTTACTTCTCTATAGAGGATCTTTACTTCTCTAAAGGGGCTCTTTACTTCTCTATAACGACTCTTTACCTCCCTATAGAGGCTCTTTACTTCTCTATAGAGGCTCTTTACTTCTCTATAGGGGCTCTTTACTACTCTGTAGAGGCTCTTTACTTCTCTATAGAGGCTTTTACTTCTCTATAGAGGCTCTTTACTTCTCTATATAGGGCTCTTTACTTCTCTATAGAGGCTTTTTACTTCTCTATAGGGGCTCTTTACTTCTCTATAGAGGCTCTTTACTTCTCTATAGGGGCTTTTCACTTCTCTATATAGGCTCTTTACTTCTCTATAGGGGCTCTTTACTTCTCTATAGATGCCCTTTACTTCTCTATAGAGGCGCTTTACTTCTCTATAGGGGCTCTTTACTTCTCTAAAGGGGCTCTTTACTTCTCTATAGAGGCACTTTACTTCTCTATAGAGGCTCTTTCCTTCTCTAAAGGGGCTCTTTACTTCTCTATAGAGGCTCTTTACTTCTCTATAGAGGCTCTTTACTTCTCTATAGAGGCTCTTTACTACTCTTTAGAGGCTCTTTACTTCTCTATAGAGGCTCTTTACTTTTCCATAGGGGCTCTTTACTTCTCTATAGAGGCTCTTTACTTCTATAGAGGCTCTTTACTTCTCTATAGAGGCTCTTTACTTCTCTATATAGGCTCTTTACTTCTCTATAACGACTCTTTACCTTCCTATAGAGGCTCTTTACCTCTCGATAGAGGCTCTTTACTTCTATAACGACTCTTTACCTCCCTATAGAGGCTCTTTACTTCTCTATAGGGGCTCTTTACTTCTGTATAACAACTCTTTACCTACCTATAGAGGCTCTTTACTTCTCTATAGAGGCTCTTTACTTCTCTAAAGGGGCTCTTTACTTCTCTATAACGACTCTTTACCTCCCTATAGAGGCTCTTTACTTCTCTATAGAGGCTCTTTACTTCTCTATAGGGGCTCTTTACTACTCTGTAGAGGCTCTTTACTTCTCTAAAGGGGCTCTTTACTTCTCTATAGAGGCTCTTTACTTCTCTATAGAGGCTCTTTACTTCTCTATAGCGACTCTTTACTTCTCTATAGAGGCTCTTTACTTCTCTATATAGGCTCTTTACTACTCTGTAGAGGCTCTTTACTTCTCTATAGGTGCTCTTTACTTCTCTATAGAGGCTCTTTACTTCTCTAAAGGGGCTCTTTACTTCTCTAAAGGGGCTCTTTACTTCTCTAAAGGGGCTCTTTACTTCTATAGAGGCTCTTTACTTCTCTAAAGGGGCTCTTTACTTCTCTAAAGGGGCTCTTTACTTCTATAGAGGCTCTTTACTTCTCTATAGAGGCTATTTACTTCTCTATAGGGGCTCTTTACTTCTATAGAGGCTCTTTACTTCTCTATAGAGACTGTTTACTTCTCTATAGAGGCTCTTTACTTCTCTATAGAGGCTCTTTACTACTCTGTAGGGGCTCTTTACTTCTCTAAAGGGGCTCTTTACTTCTCTATAGAGGCTCTTTACTTCTCTATAGAGGCTCTTTACTTCTCTATAGCGACTCTTTACTTCTCTATAGAGGCTCTTTACTTCTCTATATAGGCTCTTTACTACTCTGTAGAGGCTCTTTACTTCTCTATAGAGGCTCTTTACTTCTCTATAGAGGCTCTTTACTTCTCTATAGGGGCTCTTTACTTCTCTATAGAGACTCTTTACCTCCCTATAGAGGCTCTTTACTTCTCTATAGAGGCTCTTTACTTCTCTATAGAGGCTCTTTACTTCTCTATAGAGGCTATTTACTTCTCTATAGGGGCTCTTTACTTCTATAGAGGCTCTTTACTTCTCTATAGGGGCTCTTTACTTCTCTATAGAGGCTTTTACTTCTCTATAGAGGCTCTTTACTTCTCTATAGAGGCTCTTTACTTCTCTATAGGGGCTCTTTACTTCTCTATAGAGACTCTTTACCTCCCTATAGAGGCTCTTTACTTTCTTATAGAGGCTCTTTTACTTCTCTATAGAGGCTCTTTACTTCTCTAAAGGGGCTCTTTACTTCTCTATAGAGGCTCTTTACTTCTCTATAGAGGCTCTTTACTTCTCTAAAGGGGCTCTTTACTTCTCTATAGAGGCTCTTTACTTCTCTAAAGGGGCTCTTTACTTCTCTAAAGGGGCTATTTACTTCTCTAAAGGGGCTCTTTACTTCTATAGAGGCTCTTTACTTCTCTAAAGGGGCTCCTTTACTTCTAAAGGGGCTCTTTACTTCTATAGAGGCCTTTTGCTTCTCTATAGGGGCTCTTTACTTCTATAGAGGCTCTTTACTTCTCTATAGGGGCTCTTACTTCTCTATAGAGGCTTTTACTTCTCTATAGAGGCTCTTTACTTCTCTATAGAGGCTCTTTACTTCTCTATAGGGGCTCTTTACTTCTCTATAGAGACTCTTTACCTCCCTATAGAGGCTCTTTACTTCTCTATAGATGCTCTTTACTTCTCTATAGAGGCTCTTTACTTCTCTAAAGAGGCTCTTTACTTCTCTATGGAGGCTTTTTACTTCTCTATAGGGGCTCGTTACTTATCTATAGAGGCTCTTTACTTCTCTATAGAGACTTTTTACTTCTCTATAGGGGCTCTTTACTTCTCTATAGAGGCTCTTTACTTCTATAGAGGCTCTTTACTTCTCTATAGGGGTTCTTTACTTCTCTATAGAGGCTCTACTTCTCTATAGACACTCTTTACTTCTCTATAAAGGCTTTTTCTTCTCTATAGGGGTTCTTTACTTCTCTATAGGGGCTCTTTACTTCTCTATAGGGGCTCTTTACTTCTCTATAGAGGCTCTTTACTTCTCTATAGAGGCTCTTTACTTCTCTATACCGAGTCTTTACCTCCCTATAGAGGCTATTTACTTCTCTATAGAGGCTTTTTACTTCTCTGTAGAGGCTCTTTACTTCTTTATAGAGGCTTTTTACTACTCTATAGAGGCTCTTTACTTCTCTATACCGAGTCTTTACCTCCCTATAGAGGCTATTTACTTCTCTATAGAGGCTTTTTACTTCTCTATAGGGGCTCTTTACTTCTCTATAGAGGCTCTTTACTTCTTTATAGAGGCTCTTTACTTCTTTATAGAGCCTCTTTACTGAGTTGGTCCCATGGGGGCTGTTTCTCAGAGAGGGCTGATTCTCCACCGCGGAGCTTACTTTCAAAGCCACCACCATTCATAGTGAGATCCTCCTCTAATAGACTTATTCACATTCCGCCCAAGATTGCATATTTTCAACAAGAGGCTGGTTTTAAAATTCATATAACGAGAGATGAGCATCCAATTCTATTCTAACCATGAAACATCCTGCAATTGTGTGTGTGTGTGCTTATTCATGGTGTGTCAAACTATTGGATATTTTTCATTATGTTTAAAGAGGGTAGGCATCTGTGTTTTTCTTCCCCTGTCCACACTGAGAAAATATTTCTCTGTAATCTCCTCTGTCTCTCAGGATCTTACTGGAGTTGCAGTGGTTTCCTCTTCCTGCTCTCACTCGGAGCCAGCAGGGTGTCTCACAAACATGTTTTACAGGTTGACTTCCCAGTGATCCAGCGGGATATCTCACCACCAGCGCCTGCTATGTGGCAGTCCTTGTGATGGAGGGAAAGGAGGTGTAGTGAGCAAAAGTGTGTGTGTGTGTGTGTGGGGTAGTCTGTAAAAGTATAAATGTCCTTGTCTCAGCAGGCCTCAGCTCTCCACCAGCCAACATCACCACTCCCAGCATCGTCACTCCCATCGTCAACGGCTTCACGGGTATCCCCCACCATCAGCCCAACGGACATCCCACCGTGGAGACCATGTACACCAATGGTCTCTCGCCCTACACCACCCAGAGCCCCACCGCCGCAGACACCCTCCAGCAAGCCTTCACCGGAGTACAGCAATACACAGGTATTGTACACAGGATACACATCTAGAAGTAGAGCAATACAGAGTACAGGTACTGTGCATGCTGGCCTGAGCCCTTAAGCCCTGGCCCAGACTGAGAGCGATGTGCACTAATATGGTGCAGGAGTAAAATCAGGGACGTTTTTGTGTACCATGGAAATCAATGCCTTCCAAGCAGCAGAATGGCTACTGTATCTTTATAAGTTCATGTTATTTTGCAATGCAACATTGAGTGACAAAACTACATAACTGACAGCATACACACAGCATAACTGACCGAAAACAAGAGAGATACTGTATTAAGTGGTATAGAGATCTATACGAGATATACCAATACAAAATTGTGTGCATGAAACTTTGTGTGTGTGTGTGTGTGTGTGTGTGTGTGTGTGTGTGTGTGTATTACAGCTATCTACCCAGCAGGCACACTGACTCCCATAGGCCAGACTCTTCCTCAGCCATCACAGGGCATCCAGCAGCAGCAACAGAGAGAAGGTGAGGGTGAGAGAACAATATTATATTTTACAATGCTATTATAAATATTCACTTTTATTGCTTTATTGTCATATTGCTATATTGCATTTTACAGGTTTAAGAGTATTATGTTAAATACAAATGCATTTCATATTTTGGTATTACACTTTCCTAGTAATATTGTCTAGGTGTTATAATGCAGTGATTAAATGTTCCCATTTTGGAAATAAAAGTGTTACATAGTACTGTGTACGCATAATGGTATTATCTGGGGCAAAGATAAAATAATCAATCATCATCATCTGCATGTGATGCAGTCTTGACTTTGACTTTAACCTTTACCTAAATGTAGACTACATGGAGATTACATTTGACCATCTAATGGCTGATTGCATTGTGTAATCCATTGACTGTGTTCAAACACATGTATTGTCACATCCCAATCTGCTTAGTTGATTATGATGACAACCGTGTGTAATGTATTGTCATTTTGGATTCACTATTTCTAAATCATTACCAGTCTGTTTTTCCTCAAATACAGTGCCTTCGGAAAGTATTCAGGCCCCTTGACTTTTTCAATATTTAGTTACGTTACAGCCTTATTCTGAAATTGATTACATTCCTTTTTTTCCTCATCAATCTACTCACAATACCCCATAATGACAAAACGAAAACAGGTTTTTAGAAATTGTATCAAATTTATAAAATAAAACAGAAATACCTTATTTACTTAAGTATTCAGACCCTTTGCTATGAGACTCAAAATTGAGCTCAGATGCATCCTGTTTCCATTGATCATCCTTCAGATGTTTCAACAACTTCATTGGAGTCCACCAGTGGTACATGCAATTGATTGGACATGATTTGGAAAGGCACACACCGGTCTATATAAGGTCCCACAGTTGACAGTGCATGTCAGAGCAAAAATAAAGCCATGAGGTCGAAGGAATTGTCCGTAGAGCTCAGAGACAGGATTGTGTCGAGGCACAGATCTGGGGAAGGGTACCAACAATTTCTGCAGCATTGAAGGTCCCCAAGAACACAGTGGCCTCCATCATTCTTAAATGGAAGAAGTTTGGAACCACCAAGACTCTTCCTAGAGCTGGCCCCCCGGCCAAACTGAGGGGTAAAGGGCATTGGTTAGGGAGGTGACCAAGAACCCGATGGTCACTCTGACAGAGCTCCAGAGTTCCTCTGTTGAGATGGGAGACCCTTCCAGAAGGATAACCATCTCTGCAGCACTCCACCAATCAGGTCTTTATGGTAGAGTGGCCAGACGGAAGCCACTCCTCAGTAAAAGGCACATGACATCCCGCTTGGAGTTTGCCAAAAGGCACCTAAAGGACTCTGACCATGAGAAACAAGATTCTCTGCTCTGATGAAACCAAGATGTACCTTTTTGGCCTGAATGCCAAGCGTCATGTCTGGAGGAAACCTGGCACCATCCCTACGGTGAAGCATGGTGGTGGCAGCATCATGCTGTGGGGATGTTTTTCTCACTGCAGGGACTGGGAGACTAGTCAGGATCGAGGGAAAGATGAACGGAGCAAAGTACAGAGAGACCCTTGATGAAAACCTGCTCCAGAGCGCTCATGACCTCAGACTGGGGCGAATGTTCACCTTCCAACAGGACAACGACCATAAGCACACTGCCATGACCACGCAGGAGTGGCTTCGGGATAAGTCTCTGAATGTCCTTGAGTGGCCCAGCCAGAGCCCGGACTTGAACCAGATCGAACATCTATGGAGAGACCAGAAAATAGCTGTGCAGCAACGCTCCCCATCCAACCTGACAGAGCTTGAGAGGATCTGCAGAGAAGAATGGGAGAAACTCCCCAAATACACATGTGCCAAGCTTGTAGCGTCATACCCAAGAAGACTTGAGGCCGTAATTGCTGCCAAAGGTGCTTCAACAAAATACTGAGTAAAGGTTCTGAATACTTATGGGTTTTTGCAAAAGAAAATGCACACCTGTTTTTGCTTTGTCATTATGGGGCATTGTGTGTAGATTGATGAGGGAAAAAAGCAATTTAATCAATTTTAGAATAAGGCTGTAACGTAACAAAATGTGGAAAAAGTCAAGGGGTCTGAATACTTTCCGAACGCACTGTAAATATGCATATATTATTATTATGTACAGTTGTGGTCAAAAGTTTTGAGAATGACACAATTATTGGTCTTCACAAAGTTTGCTGCTTCAGTGTTTTTAGATATTTTTGTGAGATGTTACTTTGGTATACTGAAGTATAATTACAAGCATTCCATTATGCAAAGAGTCAATATTTGCAGTGTTGACCCTTCTTTTTTAAGACCTCTGCAATCCGCCCTGGCATGCTGTCAATTAACATCTGGGCCACATCCTGACTGATGGCAGCCCATTCTTGCATAATCAATGCTTGGAGTTTGTCAGAATTTGTGGGTTTTTGTTTGTCTACCCGCCTCTTGAGGATTGACCACAAATTCTAAAATGGGATTAAGGTCTGGGGAGTTTCCTGGCCATGGACCCAAAATGTCGATGTTTTGTTCCCCGAGCCACTTAGTTATCACTTTTGCCTTATGGCAAGGTGCTCCATCATGCTGGAAAAGGCATTGTTCGTCATCAAACTGTTCTTGGATGGTTGGGAGAAGTTGCTCTCGGAGGATGTGTTGGTACCATTCTTTGTTCATGGCTGTGTTCTTAGGCAAAATTGTGAGTGAGCCCACTCCCTTGGCTGAGAAGCAACCCCACACATGAATGGTCTCAGGATACTTTACTGTTGGCATGACACAGGACTGATGGTAGCGCTCACCTTGTCTTCTCCGGACAAGCTTTTTTCCGGATGCACCAAACAATCGGAAAGGGTATTCATCAGAGAAAATGACTTTACCCCAGTCCTCAGCAGTCCAAACCCCTTACCTTTTGCAGAATATCAGTCTGTCCCTGATGTTTTTCCTGTAGAGAAGTGGCTTCCTCGCTGCCCTTCTTGACACCAGGCCATCCTCCAAAAGTCTTTGTCTCACTGTGCGTGCAGATGCACTCACAACTGCCTGCTGCCATTCCTGAGCAAGCTCTGCACTGGTGGTGCCCCGATCCCGCAGCTGAATCAACTTTAGGAGACAGTCCTGGCGCTTGCTGGACTTTCTTGGGCGCCCTGACGCCTTCTTCTCAACAATTGAACCTCTCTCCTTGAAGTTCTTGATGATCCGATAAATGGTTGATTTAGGTGCAATCTTACTAGCAGCAATATCCTTGCCTGTGAAGCCCTTTTTGTGCAAAGCGATGATGACGGCACGTGTTTCCTTGCAGGTAACCATGGTTAACAGAGGAAGAACAATGATTTCAAGCACCACCCTCCTTTTAAAGCTTCCAGTCTGTTATTGTAACTCAATCAGCATGACAGAGTGATCTCCAGCCTTGTCCTCGTCAACACTCTCACCTGTGTTAACGAGAGAATCACTGACATGATGGCAGCTGGTCCTTTTGTGGCAGGGCTGAAATGCAGTGGAAATGTTTTTTTTGTGATTAAGTTCATTTTCATGGCAAAGAGGGACTTTGCAATGAATTGCAATTCATCTGATCACTCTTCATAACATTCTGGAGTATATGCAAATTGCCATCATAAAAACTGAGGCAGCAAACTCTGTGAAAATTAATATTTGTGTCATTCTCAAAACTTTTGACCACGACTGTAGGCCTTTGTCTTGATTAGTAGTCTGATTTCGAACATTGTTTGACTAGATTAGATGCTTGAATGACGGCTTAATGCTGCCTCTGAACATCTCCATAAAAACAAATCATCAAGTCGCCACCTCAGTGATGTCATGGCGCCACACCATGCAAAATGAAATCAAAGATGGAAAATGCACAATTTGTATTGGTGGTGGTAAGCACAGTGTTGTTGTTATTTATAGATACTGTTACAGAACACCTAACAAATGTATTTCTTTGCCACTCCATTAGTTGTGCTCCTCAGATCTGGTCCCTGACCAAATCAGACGCAACGGGTCTGCAGGCAGTGATAAATAAAGCAGTAAATAGGTCTGATTGTGGTTTCCATGGTTTATGTGTGTTCGCAGGGCCCGAGGGCTGTAACCTGTTCATCTACCACCTGCCACAGGAGTTTGGAGATAATGAACTCATGCAGATGTTTCTACCTTTCGGGAGCGTCATCTCCTCCAAGGTCTTCATGGACCGAGCCACCAACCAGAGCAAATGTTTCGGTGAGTTTTTGCGATGTAGAGTAGTTTTATAGCACAGGAGGTTGGTGGCACCTTAATTGGGGAGAACAAGCTCGTGGTAATGACTGGAGCGGAATTATTAGAATGGTATCAAATACGCCAAACACATGGTTTCCATGTGTTTTATGCCATTCCATTCGCTCAGTTCCAGCCATTATTGTGAGCCGTCCTCCCCTCAGCAACCTCCACTGTTTTATAGGTGGTTATATAGTGGTGGTCTATGTTTGATCTGTCGACCAATCAATTAAAGACAGTTTCATGTATCGCAAACAAGGCAATGATAGTATGATTCCTGTGCTATTTCAACAAAAGTAAACTTTTACATTAAACAAATTGGTAGCCTATAATCCCCTTGTTATCTCAGTGGGGATGTCCTCAGAGCTTGAAAAGCTTTTAGCTATCTGTTCACAACGAAGCTAGGGAATAGCATGTATGTAGCCACAGCATCCAGATCACCGCTCTGTAACCCCAATACCTGTCAATACCCAGGGTGCACTGGGGCTGATTCACACCCCAACCTGGCTCTGGTCCCACTTGGCACTGGTCTTACTTGGCTCCATAGACCAGACCTGCATTTGGGCTTGAAAAAAAAAGTATGGATGAAGGGAGGGGAGAGAAAAAATTAGGCAAAGGACAATTATAGATCAGCGTTTGTTTTCACTTCAGGGAGCTGCACATCCCTGGGTAAAATTGATTGCTGCCCTGCTCTCAGGGCGGACTTAATGACATATGCATTCATAAAAGAAGACCTATTTGCAGTATTGACTAATACACTATGTATTTACAACATAATGTTAGGTCTGGTGACAGGACTGCTTTGTAGGGTAATTAATCTAGAAAGCAGGGAGAGGGTTAAACCCAGGCTGATGGTGCAGGTGACATGGAGAGCTCACCTTAAAGGAGGTTTAAGTCCACATCCTTCCCTGTTATCTGTGGCACGGCCGGCCCGGGGCCCTCCTTTCATCCTCTCCTCCTCCCTCTCTCCCCCCTAACCCTTCTCCCTAATGGGGCAGCATAGGCAGACACTTCACCTCCCAGGTGGCAGGAGACCTGGGGAGGCTCCTGCTGTTTTTCATGGGTCATCGACTGTTCCTAATGACACTCTAGACACTGGGGAGTGCATCAACCGGAGCTACACTCCACTAGTTTCTGGTCACTGACTTTCAAGGCTTTCTTTTTTACACTTGATGGAAACAGGATGCTCAGCATGAGTTTGGGCTTGAGGGTCTGGGGCCGTACGCATGTGCTTCTGCGTCGGCCTGTCTCTCCGTGTTCATCTGTGTGGGCTCTGCTTTGCTGTGCAAGTGGCAGAGCCATAAATGCATGCTCATTGATATATATTCAAGGGTGTTTGAGAGTGTTTGCACAAAGCTACATCGAGAAGCAAAATTGTTCAAATGACAGAAATGGTTATACAGTGGGGAAAAAAAGTATTTAGTCAGCCACCAATTGTGCAAGTTCTCCCACTAAAAAGATGAGAGAGGCCTGTAATTTTCATCATAGGTACACGTCAACTATGACAGACAAAATGAGAAAAGAAATTCCAGAAAAATCACATTGGTAGGATTTGTAATGAATTTATTTTGCAAATTATGGTGGAAAATAAGTATTTGGTCAATAACAAAAGTTTCCTCAATACTTTGTTATATACCCTTTGTTGGCAATGACACAGGTCAAAAACGTTTTCCTGTAAGTCTTCACAAGGTTTTCACAACACTGGTTGCTGGTATTTTTGGCCCATTCCTCCATGCAGATCTCCTCTAGAGCAGTGATGTTTTGGGGCTGTCGCTGGGCAACACGGATTTTCAACTCCCTCCAAAGATTTTCTATGGGGTTGAGATCTGGAGACTGGCTAGGCCACTCCAGGACCTTGAAATGCTTCTTACGAAGCCACTCCTTCGTTGCCCGGGCGGTGTGTTTGGGATCATTGTCATGCTGAAAGACCCAGCCACGTTTCATCTTCAATGCCCTTGCTGATGGAAGGAGGTTTTCACTCAAAATCTCACGATACATGGCCCCCATTCATTCTTTCCTTTACACGGATCAGTCGTCCTGGTCCCTTTGCAGAAAAACAGCCCCAAAGCATGATGTTTCCACCCCCATGCTTCACAGTAGGTATGGTGTTCTTGGGATGCAACTCAGCATTCTTTGTCCTCCAAACACGACGAGTTGAGTTTTTACCAAAAAGTTATATTTTGGTTTCATCTGACCATATGACATTCTCCCAATCCTCTTCTGGATCATCCAAATGCACTCTAGCAAACTTCAGACGGGTCTGGACATGTACTGGCTTAAGCAGGGGGCCACAGCAGGATTTGAGTCCCTGGCGGCGTAGTGTGTTACTGATGGTAGGCTTTGTTACTTTGGTCCCAGCTCTCTGCAGGTCATTCACTAGGTCCCCCCGTGTGGTTCTGGGATTTTTGCTCACCGTTCTTGTGATCATTTTGACCCCACGGGGTGAGATCTTGCATGGAGCCCCAGATCGAGGGAGATTATCAGTGGTGTTGTATGTCTTCCATTTCCTAATAATTGCTCCCACAGTTGATTTCATCAAACCAAGCTGCTTACCTATTGCAGATTCAGTCTTCCCAGCCTGGTGCAGGTCTACAATTTTGTTTCTGGTGTCCTTTGACAGCTCTTTGGTCTTGGCCATAGTGGAGTTTGGAGTGTGACTGTTTGAGGTTGTGGACAGGTGTCTTTTATACTGATAACAAGTTCAAACAGGTGCCATTAATACAGGTAACGAGGGGAGGACAGAGGAGCCTCTTAAAGAAGAAGTTACAGGTCTGTGAGAGCCAGAAATCTTGCTTGTTTGTAGGTGACCAAATACTTATTTTCCACCATAATTTGCAAATAAATTCATAAAAAATCCTACAATGTGATTTTCTGGATTTTATTTTCTCAATTTGTCTGTCATAGTTGACGTGTACCTATGATGAAAATTACAGGCATCTCTCATCTTTTTAAGTGGGAGAACTTGCACAATTGGTGGCTGACTAAATACTTTTTTTCCCCACTGTATATTGTTCAATATTGTTCAACATTACTTTGGTTCCCATCAAAATAAGCACTTTGATATATGAAATAGTCAAAGCATAATGGTATTAGATTGAGCAAGGGCATTGTCTGAAATCCTTTCTCTGTTTCCTCATAATTCAATCATAATTTGGCTACATTTTCGTATAATATGGTTTTGGTTTTTAGGTTTATACACTTTGTGTCTTTTTTCCTAGGGTTTGTGAGCTTCGACAACCCAGCTAGCGCGCAGGCAGCTATTCAAGCCATGAATGGCTTTCAGATTGGAATGAAGAGGTTGAAAGTCCAGTTAAAACGACCAAAGGATGCCAGCCGTCCTTACTGACACAACCTAGCCATCAGTATTCACTGCAACAGCACAGGTAAGCCCAGTGGACTTTCTTATAGACTCAGACTGTTAGAATGCCTGTCAACTAGAAATGGGAAAATCTATCATCATGATAGACAAAGATTGATTGAATTGCAAATGTGGGCTGGCTTTCTCCAAACCATCACACTGATATAATGGGCATAATTGAATAATTACAAATAACTGTAAAATCTATACATCAAAAAATGTCATCTACATTTCAAAATAACTTCAAAACAAAGTAAGCTAGATCTAAACATGGTTTGATATTTGTCTTCTAGGTTTTGAGAAAACTGAAGATATCTTGGAGGAGTTCAACTTTTTTCTTTGAAAACAACAAAAAAATGTTTTAAAAAACATCAACACAAGGAATTTTTGAAGACATATCAGCATTTACTTATGAAGAAGACGTAGGCTACTGCAGCGATAGAAGGAGGTGTGGAGTTAGCAGAAACTACACCGAAGGACTTCAACAACAACGCAACAAACCATACAGTGCAAGACAGACTAGAGAAGTAGAAAACTCAAAAAAGATGTGAAACTCTTAACAACAGAACTTTTCTTGTTGAGACTTGAATTGTTAATTAAGCAACAAACAAACAAAAAGCAGCAACAACAAATAGATTTATATATACGTATTATATACACACACACATATATATATATATATATATATATATATATATATATATATATATATATATATATATATATATATATAAAGAAAGAGGCGCTTGTGGCTTTTACTATACTGGACAAATGAGGGTTAAAAGTGGTAAAAAGAAGCTATTCTGTCCCACTGATGGACTTTCTCTAATTCTCTCTCTGTCTCTCAGCAAGCGCAGAACTATGACTTTCTGGGGTCACTGAGGTTTCCATTAGCTACAGTACAACTGAAAATATTTCACCCCTAAGGGACCAAAGGACCAAACATTTGTATTGTTCTCAATGGTAATATATAGTATTATTGATTCTAATACTGGAAACTACAACTAATAATGTTACAACTTAAAACTTAAGAAGAAACTTACTAGCTTCCGGTTGGAGGAGGAAAAGGGGTTTTGGTTTATTTTCCATTTACATTATTGCTACTGGGTTTGAGGATATTTAAACAAAATATAAAAATATAAAAAAATATTTTAAAAGCTATACAATTTTAGTGGACGTAGAATATGTGATTAGAGATTGTTTTTCGGGCATGTTCAGATTTACTTTTAGCAGTCATCCTTCACCCATTACATTCCAAATCTGCATTTTAATTTTCGACATATCTCTCTCTACTACCTTCTCTGTGTTGGAGCAATAAGGCAACTCTGAGTAGATGCTCATGAAGCTCAACACGGTAGTGCCAAAAGATATCCCGTAAATTGTGTCAAACCAAACATTCAATACATACAGTGTATTGAGCAATGTCTTCAATCGTCTGCTGTTTCTAGTCCCCTGTCAGTGCACTGCAGTCCATCGTGATGTATTATCATTGTAGACCCCCATCTTTATCATTGCAGAAAAAGGCATCCGTGTCAGGAAAAAGCGAGGCAGCATCATTAAAGCACTGACAATACAGTTAATCTGACCACTAAGCACAGCGGTAAAAGTGTCACCCAGTAGTGTGGATACGCATTAGTAAAGAAGTGCAACACCTTTAACTGGTTAATAAAATATACAAATTACCCTGACAATGGTTATAAAATTGCTATCCAAGCACCGGCTCCGGCCCCCTTCCGCTGCCAACCTTCTCCAGCTGCTCTCTGCAGGGGAGGCCCTCCCCACTAAAGCACATCTCTTTTAATAGAGACTATCAGTTTACCGTGGACCTGAGAGCTAACGCGCCTCATAATTAGGATCATGCTAATATTGATCAGATGGAGAGCATCACTGCGGGGCAAAAGATGCACAATCAATTACACATAGGCATTTTGAATGAATGGACTGACTGACAGAGTCCATTTTTCACACAGCGCATGCATGAGAAATGCAGCAGTACAGCCTTCCCTCTTCTCTCACTGCTTCAGGGAGGGCCTAGACTGACATACTTTGGGCCTGTTTGTCACTGCGAGCCAGAATACTATACTTTTAACACACAACATATATCTAATCGATTCCTGGAATGGAAACAAATGGTTCCATGTAGCATAGCAGAAAACAATGAGGTCAAACAGAAGCCTGCCTGTTTGCTGTAGATGGGACTTAACTAAAGAGCAGATGCAGTCTTTCCAGTGGGAACAATAGCACACTGAGAGGAGAGCTCTTACACCATGAGGAACAGCTTGGCTTTAGCAGCCTTAGGAGGTCAAATTAATAGGAAAATGATCAATCAATTAGGCTGCAGCAGGCTTGACATTAAGTGTAGTTACTGCAGCTGCTGCTCGGAAGGGGAGTCACAAACAGGAACACAAACTCTGCCACAGAGGAACAACACCACAGCGTACTATTAGCCTGAAGAACTAATACTGTGTTGTCTAATAGTTGGCAACACATATGGTCAGATTGATCAGAAAAAAGTAAACTGTTAAAGCAGTAGAAGTTACTATTCCAATTAAATATAAACATGGTTTACACTAATGATATGTCTGAGATGAAATCGGTTTAAAGATGTATATCTCTTCGGTTGTAGTAGTTCTACTCAATTCTATTCCCTTTTCTAATTTCCATCGCAAAGCTATTCTATTATCATACTCATTCTCCTGACGGCTGATCATCTAGAGGAAGCCAAAGATCTCTATATATAGAGGGAGAGAGAGGCAGGATCGAGAAATATATATATATCCCATATAAAGGAGCCCTATAGAGATATAAAAGAGAGATGGAGAGCGAGAGAGAGCAGAGGATATGGAGTGTAGATGTAATGAGTAGCGAGCTATCGCATATCCGATCCGTATAACGAGCTCCGTCTCTCCTCATTCTTCTCTCTCTCTCTCCTCTCTCTCTCTCATCTCAGCATCTCTATCTCAGCCTCTCTCTCTCTCTCTCTCTCTCCCTCTCTCTCTCTCTTTCTCTCTCTCCCTCTCTCAGCCTCTCTCTCTCTCTCTCTCCATTTAGGTTGACAGGGTCCAGCCTTGCTGCTCTCTGCTCATTCTGCCTATTTAGACACTGTTTTGTTCCACCACACATCCCTTCTGTCTGTCTGTTGACTGGCAAATGGCATCTCTTGGGTTTGAATGACTGAGCAACAAACCAGAATGACAATTTGACTGAGCAAGTATTCCCTACCAGCATATATATTTAGTGCTCTCTGAAGAGTGCTGAATGTAAGCCTCAGCATTGAAACCAAATGGACAATGCATACTGAACTTGACCACTGACAGCAACAAAAGGCTAGAGTTATTGTATGCTGTCACAGTGTTGTAATGCCTTTATCAACATCAGAGTTGCCAAATCTTGATCGAATGCATTTATAAAGGGAAAGCATCTATTTAATTCCTCCATCAGACATTAAAATGTGCAGATTGTATAGCCAAAAAAGGGAGAAACAGATGACAGATTAACAATATTCATATGCAGCAGTGCAATTGGTAGTAGTAAATAGTAGTCGATTAAATGTTTGATGATGTATTAGTAGGTGAAATAGTCGCAAATCATAGAACAAGATAGATTAAGAACATAATGACAAGGTAGATATTTACCCATATTTGGCCAAAGTGAACACTGTCTCTTCATGAGTTACTGTGGTGGTTCCCTCCGTTTTCCCTCCCCTGTCTGGACTTGGCACCTTAGGAAGCTGTTCTATACAGACAAGTGTCCCTAGAGCAGCTACAGCCTCATAACGCTGCTCAAAAAGCTTTCTTACACCAATTCTACTGAAGGGATTTTTTCATTATTAAAATCAAACGGCGTATGGTTGGAGACTGTTTATATAAATTCCAGTATTATTTGCCCATTGGGCGCGAGTTTACAGGTGCTGTCCTATCTGATTTGGAGGCAACAGTAGTAATTCTCCTTGCACTAACTAAAATTGAAACGACGTGCTTGAGCCTGTGAAATGTTTTACACTGTTTTCATTCTTGTACCATTCTGCCATGTTCATACTTTGTCATTCCATCTCTCCAACCATGATGCTCATTCAATATCTGAGCATGCTCAATAGTGGGGCTGGGGGGTTAAAGATTATAATAATGGTACTGGCTACTCGCTTTTAACAATATGATTCTTTAACTATGGTTTGAATGTTAAGGATAGTAGCTTATTATTAATATGATATCTGTATATTATGGAAAATCAGCACAGGACCTTTCTTTGGGTATTAAGGTGGGTGGAATGGGAGGGGAGGGTTTTTGCTTTATAAAGATTTTAAACTTCTGGTTTCTCAGCACAAAGCATACAAAAATATATAACAAAAGTATTGAATCTGTTTAGTAGACTGACATGTTATGGGGCAAGGGAAACATTTCAGTGCTGTTCTCTAAACCTGGACCAGAACAATGCTGTTTACAGGTAGTTTTTTTTTTTTTTAAGAGGAGAGCACCACCTATCTGTTTGATGGTCTCAGTACAGCATGGTTAACTGAAATGGAAAGCAGTACCTTTTTATAAATAAAAAATTAATTAAAATATGTGTTCTGTAATAGCCTGAGAAACCAAACGTTTTTTCCCCTGTTGACATTTCTTGAATACTTGCTGCTTCGATTATTTCATATTAATGATTAATGATTTAATGGTTTTATAATTATTTATTTGATCAGGTAAGAAACTTGATATGTAAATGTATGTATTTATCTATTTCTTTCTTTGTTTATTTACTGATGTATTTATTTGATGTATTATTTATTGAATGTATTTATGTTATAGTTCTGTTATGATAAGGTATGTATAAAAGGAAATGCTTATTGGGGCTTTTCTCTTTCTCTCCTTTTTTTCAATTTTACAATAAAATGTCAAACTGGACGTTGCATTCTCAGATGTGTATTAAATGCAGAACTACACCACAGAAAAGGGGAGTCGTTGCACAAACTGCCATTCCAGGTGTCCATCCCTCTCCTGAAGGCAGTGTATGTCTATAGGTATAGGGTAACTGAGTATGCTGAAATGGCCATTATCACTGATTGCCTTAAGCCCTTTCAGCACGTTACCAGCAGTACCAATCACATGCTATCTTTAGGGCAACACCTCCAAGACCTTCAGTAAACAAACTTGTGATAATTCATTGGAAAATGTCTGATAGGAGTCTGCTCTACTCTAGAATGAACAGTGTAGCATAGAGCCAGGCAGTAGGTGGGGGGAAATGTATCCATTTTATACTCCTATAGAAACCTAATGAGGCAAGGTGTAGAGTGATTGAAATGATCTGTCATCCTAAAGACTGAGGGCCCAGTGCTCTGCAATTTAATAGGTTACCTCTGATGGTATGGTCATTGGAAATTATATATTTTGGGGCCAATTTTGATGGGTAACGAAAACCAGAGGGAATGATGCTACGTTTTGGTCACGTATATATGTTTGGATGGAGTGTGGGCAGGAACGGTGAAAATGATTGTGTTACAAATAAAGAAACTCATAAAACGACATATACTGTACGTACATTATGCTATCAGTGCAATGGATATAAATCATGGCAGCTGCACGAACAGATACACCTTCATGCAATACTTACAAAAAGTACAGTATATCCATGAAAATATACCACGTCTTAGCTAGACACAGGAAAATAAATGGATATGTTATCACTGACTTGACAAAATCTAAAGATAGGCTATTTAGCGACAGAAATAGTATGGCTGTGACACTACAGTAATGAATGGAGGAAGAACATTTTAAACAGCAGTGGGAAAAGGGAGGACAAAAAAAGTACAACCACTGGCTCATGAAATAAATTGGCCCAATTATAATAAAGTGTGGCT